CTGGCGGCGGGTCCTTCAGTGCCGCTGAAGACCCCGAGCGAGAGAAGGAACCGCCGCCAAAGACTAGGAGCGCGGCCCGGTGAGTACAAGCCCCACGTGTTTTTTTTAACGTGTTTTTTTTTTTTTTTTTTAGTCATCCCTTTCGGGGCCCCGTCAAAACTGTTCGAATCAGGCCCCGCACTTCCTAAAGCCGGCCCTGGCCCCAAGCACATGCTTGGTGGGCTGGTGCCTAGAGCCGGCCCTGGTTATATGCCTAACCTTTATTCCAATTTCCTTTATTCCATTTATAAAAGCAATGTATGTCTTCATCATTTTTTATATTAATTGTAAATTAGCATCAATTGGCTTAAGCTGTATAAGAGGATTGTTAATTTTAGTAAAGCTTTGTCTAAGTGAATTGCATAGCATTCGAAAAAACAGACGAACAAAATCTTCTCAATAATGTTTAGTGTATTTTTCTTTCCTTTATTAAATGTTAAACTTTACACCAGTTTGATAAAGAAATGTACATGCATGCTCCTTTTGATAGGTATTATAGCTTTAATTTACATTTTAATACGCTTCCATGTATATTTCCGCAAAAGGCCAGGGTTAAAAACTAACTGGAATAAAATACATATTTTCCTCTAAAAATTAGAAAGGCATGAAATCTATATTTATTCACTTATTTTTAAGGATTCCTAAAGAGTAAATTAATTAAAATCATTTAAAAAAAAACTCTTTAAAAAAAGGAGCTGAATGGTGCCCTAAAAGTATGTGTTCCAAAATGAAACCAAGAAGTGCTGGAAACTTAAGAAAGAGTAGGAGAGACTTCCAGAGCCACATGACCAACTCATTGGATAAAAAGCGGGTAGGACAAAAGGAAGGGCAGTCAGTCTAATACAGGGGTCTAATTGGCACAATATAGCAGTGGAGGGAATTTCATGGAAATCTGTCAAAAAATCCATGATAAGGAAAGGTATAGAGATATCACTACTCATGGCTAAATGCTTTAACAGGAACCTGTGTTTGAATAATCCCTGCATCAGAAGCATGTTTCAGCTGTTCTTACAGCCTGTGGTAAAACGTAAATGATATTTATTTTAACAACAAGAATAGGATTTTAGCCAATCCCTTATCCCAGCCCAGAAATCTCATACCTCTCCTCACACAAACCACCCCCAAATCCTGGCTGCTGTAACCCAAATGTTCAGTGGCTCCATTAAGGTGCCTCCAAAATTAGCAAGTGCTTCTCACAGCTAGCCACTGACCAAAAATAGGATCTTGGACCAGAACCCTTCAGAGTTTTGTGGGATGGGATCACATTCAAATACTCAGATTTGAATCAGCCATAATTATGTTGGCTTCTGGACAGATACAAAAAAAGTTCTGAGTTGGCCAAAATCTTGCAGGACTTTTTCTCCCAGAGGTGGAAGTTCTGAAGCCTTCAAGTTAGGGCTGTCAAGCAATTAAAAAATTAATCACGATTAATTGTACGATTAAAAAAATTAATTGTGATTAATCACGCTGTTAAATAATAATAGAACACCATTTATTTAAATATTTTTGGATGTTTTCTACATTTTCAAATAGATTGATTTCAATTACAACACAGAATACAAAGTGTACAGTGCTCACTTTATATTTATTTTTGATTACAAGTATTTGCACTGTAAAAACCAAAAGAAATAGTATTTTTCAATTCATCTAATACAAGTACTGTAGTGCAATGTCTTTATCATGTAAGTTGAACTTACAAATATAGAATTATGTACCAAAAAAAATGAGTTCAAAAATAAAACAATGTAAAACTTAGCCTACAAGTCCACTTAGTCCTATTCCTTGCTCAGCCAATCACTCAGAGAAACAAGTTTGGTTACAATTTGCAGGAGATAATGCTGCCCGCTTTTTGTTTACAATGTCACCTGAAAGTGAGAACAGGTGTTTGCATGGCACTATTGTAGCCGGCGTTGCAAGATATTTATGTGCCAGATGCGCTAAAGATTCATATGTCCCTTCATGCTTCAACCACTATTCCAGCGGACATGCGTCCATGCTAATAAGGGGTTCTGCTTGATAACGATCCAAAGCAGTGCAGACCGACGCATGTTCATTTTCATCATCTGAGTCAGATGCCACCAGCAGAAAGTTAATTTTCTTTTTTGGTGGTTCAGGTTCTGTATTTTCCGCATTGGAGTGTTGCTCTTTTAAGACTTCTGAAAGCATGCTCCACACCTTGTCCCTCTCAGATTTTGGAAGGCACTTCAGATTCTTAAACCTTCGGTTGAATGCTGTAGCTATCTTTAGAACTCTCACATTGGTACCGTCTTTGTGTTTTGTCAAATCTGCTGTGAAAGTGTTCTTAAAACGAACGTGTGCTGGGTCATCATCCAAAATTGCTATAACATGAAATATATGGCAGAATGCGGGTAAAACAGAACAGGAGACATACAATTCTCACCCAAGGAGGTCAGTCCCAAGTTTAATTAATGCATTATTTTTTTAACGAGCACCATCAGCATGGAAGCATGTCCTCTGAAATGGTGGCTGAAGCATGAATGGGCACACAAATGTTTGGCCTATCTGGCACATAACTTCCAATGCCGGCTACAAAAGTGCCATGCAAACGCCTCTTTCACTTTCAGGTGACATTGTAAATAAGAAGCAGTCAGCAGTATCTCCCGTAAATGTAAACAAACTTGTTTGTCTTAGCAATTGGCTGAACAAGAAGTAGGACTAAGTGGACTTGTAGGGTCTGACGTTTTACATTGTTTTGTTTTTGAGGGCAGTTATGTAACAAAAAAAATCTTACATTTGTAAGTTACATTTTCATGATAAAAAGATTGCACTACAGTATTTGTATGAGTGAACTGAAAAATACTGCAAAAAGAACAGGAGTACTTGTGGCACCTTAGAGACTAACAAATTTATTAGAGCATAAGCTTTCGTGGACTACAGCCCACTTCTTCAGACGCATATATAGTGTAATAATTATTGGGGACATATATATACACACATGCAGA